AAAAAATAACTTTTTCTGAGCCGGACTGTAATTTGATAGAACTTGAGGCTAATAATTCAGACTTTAAGTTTGATAAAGCTAGCTGGGTTTTTGACACTGCAGCGACTGCACACTTCTGCAATAATAGGAATTTGTTTTTAACATTTGCACCAGTAAAGAATATTGAGAAAGATAGTCCAGTCGAGGGAAAAGGGATAGTTCATTTTTTTGTTAAAAGGAAGAATGGTATCTTTAATGAAATAATTTTAAAGGATGTTTTGTATAATCTAAACAACGTAGAAACCTTCCTGGGGTAAAACTAGAAAAACAAGGAGTTAAATTTATAGGTAATGCAAAAATTTTAGTGTATGATAAGAACTGGAACAATTTGTTTTTTTCTCAATGATATAATGACTTGTATTTTTTAAAACCCTCTAAGTATAAATGTAATGGGAACAGATCGGTTAATGTGATAGCAAATCAGGTAGAAAAAACATGACATTAATGAGTTGTGGCATTCAAGATTGTGCCATGTAAATAATGAAGATGTAGTTCCTACTAGCAAAAATAAAAGTGTTCATGGTTTACCTGAGCTGTCTGGATTGACTGAAAACTGCATACCATGTAAACTTGCTCAATCTAGACTAGTATCTTTTAAACCTATTGGTAAAATAAGGTCAAAACGGGCCCTAGAGTTGTTGCATATGGATCTTTGTGGTCCCTTTACCAGTAGCATCACAGGGGGGTAATAGGTATTTTCTTTCAATAATAGATGACTACTCTCGAAAAGTCACGGTTTTTCCTTTGAAAAATAAGTCGGATGTTTTTCAGACTTTTGTTAAGTTTCAGAGAAGGGCTGAAAGGTTTCTGAACAAAAAGGTAATTTCAGTAAGGACCAATCGTGGACTCGAGTTTTGTAGTGGTGAATTTAGGGTTTTTCTGGAAGATCTAGGTATAGACCATGAAAAAACTTATTCCCCCGAGATGAATGGAGTAGCCGAAAGATATAGCTTAACGGCTTTGGATGGAATCAAAACTTTATCAAATGAAAATGGGATAAGTCAAAAGTTTTGGGCAGAGGCTTTGATCTGTTTTTCTTACACCTGGAACAGGATTTGCCATAAAGGATGCAAGAAAACCCCATTTGAGTTACATGGTGGAAAGAGACCCTCAGTTTCCCATCTAAAAAGGTTTGGCTGCTTAGCGTTTGTTGTTGTCCCTAAGCAACTCAGAAGAAAGCTCGATATACGAGCAAAACTGGGAATAATGTTGGGGTACACACTGAGCACTAAGGGGTATAGAATCTGGCTGATAGAGGAAAACAAGGTAGTAGAGACTATCAACATAAGATTTGATGAATGGAAAAGAGGAGTAGACTCTGAAAAAACTTACGGGACCAGTAAAAAATTATCTTTTAAAGGATTTCCCAGAAGATGATGACATCTTTTCCACAGTTGGTGACCGAGCTGATCATCAGGAAGCTGGCAGTGAGAAGGATACCAGACCAGGTGGTGCTGATTCAGAAAATCAAACTGGAGGGACACATACTCTTAGGCCCTGTGCTTCAATTCCTTGGATACGTAAACCAGTTGAAAGGAAGGATAGGTCTCTAACGGATATTTATTATTTTGTTGAGGGTAGCAATGTAAGACTGAGGTAATTTAATGAGGTACAGAAATACTGCAAAAATAAAAATATAGATTACGACCAGAATTTATTTAACTTCAGCGGTAAGAACAGCTCATCAGGGAAAGTTACAGACTTGCTGAATCTCCCATTGGAGGAAAAAGCAAACCTTGCTGAGGTTCGAATCCCAAAAACTTATAGAGAGGCCACCAGAACAGCTGAGGCAGCGGATTGGGAAGGTGCGATGGATAAAGAAATGCAGGTCATGTATGACCGCAAAGTCTGGAACCTCGTAGAACCACCCAAGGAAGCTAAAGTTCTGGGATGTAGGTGGGTCTCTATTCACTTAAGCGTAATGAGCAAAATGAAATAGTGAGATATAAGGCTCGTCTCGTTGCTCAGAGATTCAAACAAGTGAAAGGTGAAAATTATGATGAGGTGTTTAGTCCGGTTGTCAATTTTTCAATTATAAGACTATTCTTTGCAATTTTTGTTTGTTTTTTCAAATGGTTTTATACACAGATGTGAATAATGCTTATTTATATGCTAGATTAGACAAAGTAATCTATATGCAACAACCAGAGGGTTATGTGAATGAGGCCAATAAAGTATGTAAATTAAACAAAGCATTGTACGATCTTCATCAAAGTGGTCGCCAATGGTATTTTGAAATAGATGATGTACTGTCTAATTTAGGTTTTCAAAAAATTTTGAGGTGTAACTGTGTATATGTTTATCAGTGTAGATTAATTCTTATTGTATGTAGATGACAGTGATGTTTGGAGAGACCAAGAAGAACTTGGATAATGGTATAACACTTTTACAGGGACATTTTGACTTGAAAAAACTAGGGAAAACCAAGAAACTATTGGGTATTGAGTTTGAGGAGAAAAATGAAAAACTTTACATTCACCAGAGTTCATACATAGAAAAATTATGTAAGCAGTATGAAAGGTTTAAATTTCCAGTGAGTTCTCTCCCAATTCCTAAGGGTCTTGTGTTATCCAAATTGGATTGTCCAAGTACCCCTGCAGAGATAAATGAAATGGCTAAATATCCATACAGAAATTTAATTGGTAGTCTAAGTTTTATCGCTGCAAGGACAAGACCAGACATAATGTATGCCGTCAATTTATTGTCCCAGTTTCAGTCCAATCCTGGAATCAAACATTGGAACAGTTTGCTAAAATAATTAGGTTACTTAAATTACACATATCACTATAAGTTGGAATTGTCAAAAATAAGTAATTTAAATTTAACTTGTTATTCAGACTCGCATTATGCAGCCAATAGAGATGACCGGGTTTCTATAGGTGGATACATTTTGTTGGTGGATGAAACTCCTATTTCTTGGAGAACTTTCAAACAAAAATGTATTTTATCCACTATGGAAGCAGAGTTTGTCACTCTAACAGAAGCAGCGAAAGAACTGATTTGGCTAAAAGACGTTTTAGAAAATGAGCTTTTAAAATTGGAATTAAAGGATTGTTTGCTTTTGTACGATAATCAGGCTGCCATTTCCTTTTCAAAATCATAAGACTAATCATATTCATGTTAGGTACTTATTTATAAGAAATCTAGTATACGATAAATTTTTTGAATTAAAATATGTTCCGAGTAAGTCAAATTTATCAGACCCTATTACAAAACCACAAGTTAAAGAAGCAATGAATAAATTTTGTAGTAAAATTTTTCATGTGAAAGAAAAAGTATTTCTTAAATGTTAAATGCTAATGTATTTTTCTTTTTTGCAGCATTTCGTTTTGTTGAGGTCAGACTGGATGATGGAGTAATGTTCCCCGCAGGGTGGTGTGTGTGAACCGTGTTTGGGTTCCATGGATGAGTATGAGCAGCCCTAGATACCGTCTCGGAGGTGAAAATGTTATTTGCCAGAGTGCTCATCTAGGGGATTCGGGCACAGGGAGCACATCATTCCAGCCAAATTGTCACAGGAGATGTTATTGTTTTTGTTCGTAAGTCCCATTATGTGATTGGAAGCTCCTATAGGCCCATCATCTTCTAGTCTGCCTTCAATAAAGTTATCAGCTGCAAAGTTTCTGATTTTTGAGAATTTGTTTAAATTCTTTTCTCAAGTAGACTCTAGAAATATTTTTCCTTGATAAAGTGTTGTTCACATGTTTATATTATGTAATTTACCTGTATATTTTTTAAGTGTGATTTCCTGGAATGCTGACAAGGGGGCCGCTTGTTGTATGTCATGGCTAAATTCTAAGAATAGTTTGATAAGTTGTGGATAACTTACATGCCATCCCAATGTTGTCAGTAATCCAGGAATATGGTATTACTTGTGTGTATGTGTACGGCAAGCGATGTGGGCGTTTCAAAATGTAAACAAACCCGGAAAACGAGTGGAGTTGAGAAACGGCTTTTGCTGATGGCAGCTGTGCATTAAAGATCCGATCGCCGCTTGTGACGTCACGGTTCTATCTGACCATTCGGGAATTTTCTTAAAAGTTTATATCGCTTGTTGTGGAAGTAATGCAATATGCTAATTGTATTGATGTATAAATACTAATCGCTACTGTTGTATAGTTAGTGGCAGTTGGGTGTTTCTCAGCAAGTAACCGACTCCATACTGTACTCAAATGTTCAGTTAGTGTAATCAATTATTTAAAACTAACCATTGTAAATTCTCATCTTTTATTGCATCGTCATCAATAAATATGTTCTAAGAAATTCTCGCCTTTAATGAAAAAGTCCTCACATGTTTTACTTAACTTTTAGATCCACTGTTCATAGTTCTACTGGTTATTTAGTTTTTCACATTTTAAAGTTAGAAGTGTAGAACTTAAAAAAAAAAAAGATATTAGAGAGAACAAACTATTAACTTCAAAATAAATATATATAGGTATAAAAAAATTCTCTTATAATTTGCTACAATGTAATAAATGTGTTTATGTTCATCGCAATGCGTTCTTAGTAAATACATCTATAATCATATACTTGCAATTGTTATTTAAATAGGTAAACTAATATTTACTCTTGTGTTTTATGTACATGAAACACAATTTAAAGATTAATTTACTAATTTTTTTTAAATTTCCTGTAAGTATGTTTGGTTTAATAACAAAAAGTGTTCAAACAAATGCATCACAGAAGCAACGTAGGCAAAGGATGATCTCTCCCTACTAGTAGTGACGTCACAAATCAGCGCAAAGCAAAGTTTCGCTGACACAGAGGGTACAGCTCAGTGGTAGAGCATTCGACTGCTAATCGAAAGGTCCCCGTTCAAACCAAGGTGCCCCCTTCTTCAGGGAAGTGAACAGAAATAATTTTGAGAATTTCGAAGGCGGGGATGATCTGTCCCGTTCTGCATATTTCTAGACAAAGCATTTTCATATCCATTCCTATGGAAAGCAAAGGTTCGCTGACACAGGGGTATAGTTCATTGGTGGAGCATTCGACTGCAGTTTGAGAGGTCCCCGGTTCAAACCTGGGTTTCCTCTTCAGGGAAATGAAGAGAGATATCTTTCTGAGAATTTCGAAGGTGGCAATGATCTGTAACGTTCTGTATATTTCTAGACAAAGCATTTTCGCATCCGTGACGGTGTGCATCACATCCGTGATAGTGAGGGCGCACATCGTAAAAATTCACCTTCATCCTATTTCTCTAACGCACCAAAAGAAGTATAACTTCAAAAAGGTATGAATTACTTTTATTATATAGTGTTTGTGAATTTAATGGTTAATGGTGTTAAATGGTTTATAACGTGTATTAAAAGATGAACCTCGATATGACGAATATTCCATATAACGAACTTTTTCCGGAATTTAGCGACTTCGTTATATAGAGGTCCGACTGTATTATCGCATTAATATTCATTTTGACAAAAAAAAAAACATGACTTTTCAATCCTTTGAATATAAAAGCATAATATACATACCAGGCATGATGGTAATTTGAGAACCAGCCTGAAAATATAAACATAACAAAAACAGTTAAACTTTAAAATACTATCATTTAAATATATCATTGAAATACAAAATATTAAGAATAAAATAAAGCTTTATAACATAAGTGAAAGTGATACATTAATTACAGCTGAATATGTCTCTAAAGAAACAAGATTTCTTAAACAAGATTGTGCAGATCACTGGATAATTTTTTTAAAAAAAAAAAAAAAAAAAGATTTCAATTAAAATTTCTTTTTTTTTTTTTTTACCCCTTTGGTAAATATTCAATTTCATCTTCCTTTTTCCATCTGTTATATGGCTAATAGATTGTTTCATTATTGAGGATATAATTCATTTGAGGTTACAACGTATCTTATATTGCAGTATAAAAACAAATAATATTCAAATAAAGATAATGTTCAAACATATTAACATCTAAAATGAAATGTAATTAAGTGAAGAACTTTATAAAGACGTCTGAAGTTTTTATGTACACATATGAAATTTAAGAAAAGTAAAGGAATATAATTAAATTTTTTACATTCATTTAGGGGGGGGGGACCATATTAGGAGGCTGTTTGACAATGATTTTTGGGGGGAAAGAATTAATTAGAATTTCAAATAAATTTTGACATTTCATTTATATTTTGGTAAGATTTTGTGATTTTTTTCAAAACATTTCAGCCAATTATAATAACATAACGCTGTGATGTCCGCTGAAGGTTGTTAGTACAGTTCTCCAATTGCGTGCAGTGCAGCCATTCCGATTTTCATCTGAAATCAAAAAGGTTTTGATTTTACATTAACAACTTATTTTCTAAGAATATGAACGTCAATGCAGGTGAAAATAATGAAAATTAAAAATTTTGCAGGCGTTGGGAAAATTTACTTCGACTTTCACGATTTTTTCCTCGAATTATGCAAAGAAAAATACCCTTAAAATCATGATATCATCTCACAAGTTAGTTCATATAATTCCTAATTTTATAAAGAATCTTGCTATCAATTTTCATAATGATCACAGTCCTATACTTTTTCAGTTAGACTGCACGCAAATATGAAAAAAGTCATTTCAAGGTAAACGCGTTTGAAAAATAAATTCTCAGAAACTAGATATCCAAGGAAGTTAACATCATGTAAAATGCTTACCGATTAATCGGCGATTCCAGCATCATATAGCAATCCTTCCTCATAGACTTCGTTTTGCACTTGAAGCAGTGCTTTCCTACCTTTCTTCGATTCCAATGAACTATGTCAATTCTGCCAGTTCACACGCTGGTTATCCATTTGTTCGGCATAATTTGCCTGCCTACTATAATTCCTCTCTCGTTCATAACCATCAGAAGGGAAGAATTTCCTTCATTGAATAAGCCTGCTACTAAATATGATGTCAATTCAACGATTTTTAGTCCGGAGTGCAAGTGTTTAGGAGCTAATCGCCTAATAGTCGAATTAAAACTTTCATTTGAATTTTGTGTGTGGCCACCTAAACATCTTTCCAGTAAACCATCCCTTAATAAATCTGAGACTACCCGAGTTAGTGCTCCACTCTATCTGAGCTCGAGCCTGTATCCAATGTTCATTTGGTTCTATGCTCATAAAATCTAAGCAAATGTGAATTACGCTTTGAAATTTTGACAGCGCATTCTTGAATAGTCAGGCTAACGATTTATGCAATAAAAAAATCTGATTTTTTGAACCTCCTAATGTGGTTACCCTCCTTTAATTAAAATGTATGCAACATAAGTTATTAAAGGCTAATGGTGGTAAACATTTTTAAAATTAAAGTAGATTTAAAATATTTTCTGAGAAAAAAAAAGTATTTCAGAAAAAAAACACATGGAACTTTACTATGATACATTATGTAATTAAGCTGAGAATATTCAAAAACTGCTAACAAAAAGTAAAATATCTATTTCAGATTTAAGTAAATTAATGTGTTAGTTAATTCTTATTTTTCCCAATATACATTTGAAAGATATTTCATATAATTCATCCACTGCAAAAACTAGCTAAGTAATATAAATATACAAGATTATTGCATCCTAAAATAACTTGTTTAAGAAAAAAAATTATACTCTTTAGTAATTAAGAATGTGCAATATATCAGTACTTGTATCAAAATAAGTCTATTAAAGCTTAACAATTTACCAGATCAACCAAATCCTTTAGTGAAAGTATTCCTTCGTATGCTGTTCCTCTGCAGCCACTTGTTAGAATTCTTTTAAAACCTAGGTCTATAATCTTTATATATGCTTCATCATCTTCTGCGAAGTCGAATGCTAAAATTAAATTTATACGTAAATTTATGAATTTTGAAATGGTAGAAAATAACTTATTTTTTTAAAGGAATAAAATAATATATATATATATATATTTGCGACAGTAGTGGCATAATTTTCACAGATAATTTCTTCATTTAAATTTTGTTAATTAAAATTTCTGACTATTAATTTAAATGAAGAAATAGCAATGTACAATATATTTAAATCGAAATTTATTAAATAGCAAATTTTTAGAATTCTAATCAAAAACCTAATCGTCGAAGTTTAAATTCAACCAATCCAGATCAAGGCTCTCAAGCTTACTTCTTTGATATTTTTTTTAGTCTTTTTAATCCGGGGTGGGCATTAAGTCAATCACGATATACCGGTGGACCGCCAAAACATTTTGGGGTGACCCCCTTCAAGTTAGACTCGCATACTAAAACAAATATATATGTGGTACACCAATGCCAGTTAGACTGGAGTATCGGCTCTTCACAATGCATGCAGCTATGTGTAGACGACACATGTACCATTATTGGAAGTACACGATGATGCTTAACACATTCGCTTCGACTAAAAAGGGAAAATGCGATCACTGCGATGCCAGCCGTAGAAATGCGTTTTCCCCCAACACAAGCCAACAAAAGCGGGAAATAATCACAGGCCAGCTCTTCCCACGATAACAGGTGATTGTCTACTGAAACATCACCCCACAGCTCATGCTTCCTCGGGTTGAAATTATGTTGATGCTACGTCCCACGATAGAAGGCACAGCAGAGAACGTGTTAATATACATGGGTTAATGGACGAAATAAAGTATCCTAATTTTTAAAAATGCTGCAGTTCATTTATCATTATCTTGCACTACCTACCTGTGTAAATCTGCATTTTCAATAAGAAATATAGTTAAGACAACATATCCTTCCCGTTCCACAGTCGACCACTTGGAATCCAGTGAAAGATTAGCAGTTAGTAATTATATACCGAGATATTCAAGATTGGGGCAGACAGTATGCAGACTAAGTCTTCTACCAAGACTATAAAATTCTATGACAACTAACTTTAAATGAAAATGGTTTATTTTTTAATGTATTTTGAGTTGTTTGATAATAAATGCATCATTTGATATTAAATTTGCGCATATAATTATTATGTTTGTATCTTGCGTGATTTAAAAAGTGTTTTTTTTATTTTAATTGTGTAGGCAAGTGTATATTTTGTATTTATTATCGTTAGAATATAAGTACTGTTGAGCTTTTTTTGTAGCTTACCCCACCTACGCCACTGGGTGTACCGCAACACCTTAAAAAATTAGAAGTAGACCGTACCATGTAAAAAAGTCTGCTCACTCCTGCTCTAGGTATTAAAATTTAATGTAACACAAACATAAAAGTCTTCTCAAACACAATATATATATGTATATAGATCATATTTATTCGAAACTAAGCTGTCATCCATTTTAAAGCTACAACCCAAATTATCAACATGTTTTTGTGAAAAATAATATATAAAAAGCTGTATCTTAAAATCCCATATTTATGAAATTAATAAAAAATGTAAATGAGAACTGTAAGAAGCGAATAATTTATTTTACCAGTATTTTTAAATACATATAAGAACCTGTAATTGATCTAAAAGTTAGTATTCTGTTCCATTTCCTTCATCCAAAGAATTTTTCCACTTTAGTGTGGCTTAGATTCGAATAAATATAGTAATTGCTTCGAATAAAAATGATTCAAGTCATTATTAAATGAGAGGCAATATAGTACCCATGGCGACTGATCAGTTCATTTACACACCACTGTATTTTGTACAAATTCCAACAACAAAGAAATGCTGCAGAAGTGTGTAGAAATTTATTAAAAGTGTTTGATGAAGGTACAGCTTCTGATGCAGAAGATGGCGCGAAAATTTTCAAGTAGGTGATTTCGACTATCTTTGATTGACAACGATACTGTCGCGATCATGTTAAAACGTAATCCTTTTTCGACAGCATCGGAGATTGCGGAAGTTCAACAAACCGTATTCGGAAACTGATTAGTTTGGATATATTCGAGATGGGTACCACATAAATTAAGTGAGAATTTGAATGATTGTCATCATGCGCACATCTCTGCTAGCATGGAACAAAATCGAATCGTTCTTGAACTGGATGATAATCGAGGATAAAAAATGGATAACATATGAAAACATCGTAATGAAAACGGCATATTGTAAACCCAGAAAACCTGGCTTTTGCACCTCTAAGCCGAAGTTGAGCATGAGTAAGATAATGTTGTGTATAT